GCATCACGTGTCTTGCGAAAATCTCCTGGGAGCCCCACAGGAGGATGTCCTCCAGCAGCCTGGCATCTCCTGTTGTGCAGAATAGCTGGCAGAAGTCAGAATGCAATAGTGGCTGGCATCGGCTCTAAGTGGGTCAGCAGTGACCGCAACACTGTGCCAGTATGCATCTAATCTCATCAAGCACAGTGGGTCACAGGAGGAGGCAGCAGCCAGCAGCAACCAACATTCCCGCAAACCACATCTCCATCACGTGCACAATGTGGCATTTTGCAGTTCTGCCATCCAATCGCCAGTCATAAAGCAACAGCATGAATGCAGCTTCACCTGCAGTCCCCCTCGAGGGCGAGGACCCCAACAGCGAGTTCAGTCCCTTCTTTCTGTTTTCGGCCAACTGGTATATCTTCTCCTCAGCAGACTTTGCCATGTACAGCCTCAGCACGGGCAGTTCTGGCTGGGAGCCTATTCCGTAGGCGCGCCTTAGTGCAGCGATGTCCTGCCGGGGGTCAGGCGGCGAGTCAAACACTATCACCACGCTCACTTGGGGCAAGTGGGTGCCCAGGCCACAAACGCTTGGGGTCAAGAGGAACAAGAAGTTGGCCGAGTCTGGGGTATTGAAACCCTTGATCGACTCAAACTGAGCTCCTGCTGAGTCGTGGGGCAAGATGGTCTGCAGCGCGTCTTCCCCAAAGCACTTTGCCGTATACTTCTTCAGCAGCTCCAGGCTCTGCACAGCACACGCAATGATGTGACCATCACCACATTAAGGGGATAAGAGCAACGAGTGGACAATCTCAACCAAGGTGACCTGTCGAACTGGTTGCTGCGATTGAACAGTGCTGCCCAACACGGCATCACACACTGTGCAAGTGCTCAACGGGCCTGATCCCTGCCGAATACACACAGTTGTCTGCACTGTGCAACCCAATCCGATTTCGTTGGTAAAACAACCAGGTTAGCACTGACCATGTGCCCCTGCTGCTCTTCTCTGCAGCAATGTTGAATGTATATATGGTTGTGTAGTTTTCTTGATGTGTTGGGGAATTCAACGAAACACATTTTACACAGTGAAATAATTCTTACATGTCACAGCCCAGCTGGGACAGAGCGCATGGCCACCTTTCTGAAACTCAATCCAGCGGTGAGTTGTCTGACAATCGAAAATCGTTCCCCCCACTGGGGCAATTCACGCACCCTTGTTTCCTGCGTCATGAGCAACACCTTCTTCTTCCTTGATCTGAAGCTCCTGAGCAGCAACCCCAGAAGAGCCAATTTGCCAGATGCATTCTGGCAGGCGTCCAGGCTCCAGCTCTTGCCATCCAGCACGGCATCTTCCAGCAGATAGGGGTGGCTGCAAACTCGGCTGAGTTCATGCACAACATGGCGGAGTGGCACAACTCGCTGACTGGAATGCCTGCACAGATGCACCCGCATAAGATAAACCAGGCAGGCAGAAGTCACGCACAGCATCCAATACCAGGCAACCTCAATGCAGACAATATTGCAAAACAATCATCTACATGCACACTATATTCTGCCATACAAGTTGGCTGTATGATACACAACATATCATGGTTTGTCAACATGAGACAAATCACTGCCCTTGTGCCTGTCAATGCAGTGTCAATCACTGCTCACAACCAAGGACGTTGTTCCCATAAGGTCCGAATTCCATTTCGCCACCAAATGGTCCCAACTACTGCAGTGCTGTCAATAGCCCAGAGCAAAGATGCCTGGATTTGTCTGTGCCACTGCACACAAACTGACGCCCTGTATTTCTCTTGAAAAGATACTCATGGAACGTGCAGCTTGCACCATTGTACTTCCTGCATACCATTGAAGTATATGCAATCTGCAACAATCTCCAATCTCCAAACGGAAGAAATAAACAAATTCCTTGGCCATTCCACCTTTTGCTGCCAACACTGCCATGTCCATCACATGATGCAACAATATCATTCAAACTTCAGTTTCAATTCAGGTTGACTGAAATTGACTCGTCTACATGTGCCAAACGCAGTTGGAAGAAGCAACGAAAGATGATTACTCCAGTTGATCAAAAACTCTTATTATTGTTCAATAATGCAGAAGCATAAAACTGTGGGTCCCAACACTGACAGCACACAACAGAGACTGACACACATGCCAAGAATACATGCACACAAGGGCGAAGGCAGGGTAGAAAGTTGCTGATCTGCAAGGACATGAGCTGCTGCTTACTTGGCAATCCATTGCAAAGGCTGTCTTTCTGCTTGCAGATGGATCCCATGTCTCAGCAGCAGCTCAGTCTGTTACAGACGTGTTGCTCAACACAATGCAAACTCAAAGTTCTGCAAAAGAGAATGGTGCCCGAAACCGAGTGGCAGGAGCGCTGCCTTGGCTGCGGAGAATACCTCGGGATGGTTCTATCTGTCAGGGTTTCGTAGAACTTGGCAAGAGCGCTGCAATACTGTTCGATGTGCTCCGGAGTGAACTCTGCAGGCACTGCTATCTCCCTGCAGCGTAGCGCTTGGGCCCGTTGTGGAGGGATGCCCATGGGGAAAGCCAGTGCCTCAAGCTGCCTCCTCAGTTCCAGTGCAACGCTGCCTTCGTGGTCGCTGTCGTCGTCGTTGTGCTCTGGATGGCCCTGGCGAAGGAGAGGGCGGGAGGTGTTTAATGCTAATTTGCTTATGTATCCTCTTTTGTGCACCGTACATGTGCCATACATGTGACTGTATACGCTACTTTGCTGCCTCACTGGAATGAACTGATATGCATAACACGCCACACAGAGCAGCGCAGGTCAAAACATGCAACATATAGCTGACTCACCACTATGTGAACAGGTCATGCTGTCACATTGCAAGGTGCAACAACAAAGTATCACGTGAGTTTCTTGCACAACAGGTGAAGGCACAACTGGTGACAGTTGGTCTTCAGGCGATGGGGGATCGCAAGGGTAGCAAAAAAATTGATGCCAGTGTCTTATGCTTGGTCCTGGCCCAGGGTTTTGGGATCCCAGAACTTTACAGTTCTCAAGTTCACGACTAGGACTCCGGTACTCTGGGCCTTAAGCATTTTTGCGACCTGGCATCTTGGGTCCTGCAGTTGTTAGGCGATCCACAACACAAATGGATAATGCTTCAGAATTGCAATAAATGCAACAGGTGCAAAATCTGGTCATTTGCCTCAATGTGAAGCTCTCACTGCATAGAGCATAGCAAAAAAGCACACAGCAAACAGCTGACAATGGGATCTCGCTCAGTGACAGGAACAGAAGTCTGGATGGCATGCTGATCCACACGCCACATCCCCACAATGCAGCAGTGAGGAACAGCATTGCATCCTTTGCTGAAGGCACGATCTCTACAGCAGTCAGTGTACACGGAACACCAGTATCAACCTGCCACAAAGATCACAGTTCCAGGACAGGATTACAGTGTTAGCAACATCCATATATATTGCTTGTTACTTCTATAAATATTCATTCCAACTACTTGCACAATGTGGCAGCAAACAAGTACTGGCAGCCTGTGCATCTGTGGAGTTTTGGGCATGCACACAATGCGCGAAGGTTGCCCGTACTACGCCATTATACCTGGGCTTCGGGGTGCACGATGCTCAGCAGTCCAGCCATCTCAGTGACTGTGTCTGGTACATGCGATCCAAGGGCCAACCGCGGGATTCTGGAGAGTTGACTGAGCACATTGGCACTCTTAGGCAGAGCGCCCTTGATGCCATCGCGGTAGTCGAATGCAACAAGTTCCCACGGCACCTCTGAAAGCTCCTGGAAGTCTGACACCAACACCTCGGGCGTTGTGAGGACGATGTCAGCTTTGGGGATCTGTGGCACCAATCCTCACTGAATCAGTACATGATGGGCAAAAATGCTCAGAGAACCTGCCGTACAATTGCAGCATGTGCACCATCCAGTGCAGACTTAAAATAGCATTGTTGGCTCCAGTGATGGCTGGACTCTCTGCCTTTGCAAGACAACTTTTTGGATTCTAGGTGTCCACATCCATCTTGTTGTTGCATCCCCAGCGCTGGTGACAATGACACTCACAAATGTACACGCAATCTCAAGACATTCACATACATTGATGCATTCGTTTTGGGAAACAATACAATTAAAGCTGGTGCACATTTTCTCTTCCATTTGACATCTCAAGTGGTACAAGGGGACAGCACTTGCCCCATTCAAACAATGAGATAAGAGGCCATCGACATATTCCAAGATCCACCAGCCACAGGATGAAGATGCACCACTGCCATCTGCTGACACTCGATGCAATCTGATTGACAGCAGCAGCAGCACCTGCACTTTCTCTTTCTGTAACAGCCCACTTGCCTTCTTCTTGAGATACAGTGGCATTTTGCCATCCATGCTGTCGGTCCCTTGCCATATCTCATTTTCCATAAGCATCCCTCGAGCAGCTGGCGAGCCTTGGAACAATGTCACCAGCACAGAGCTGCCACTCCAGAAGGCAACCTCCCCATTCCACTGGTCCATGGACCCACTTGGCGCCACCACCAGGATGGGAGCCACGCTGTTGAACTCGTGCCTAAGCAGCAGTTTAAGGCGATGAGAAAACCACACACTGGTCATGGTACATGGCTCTGCTGAATTAAAATCAGACAGCATCACTCTTTGCAATGCTGCACAGGGCAGCAGGTGCAATTCTTTGACTCAATTCGCCCATATTGACAAGCCACAAAAGTGCAGCCATGCAGCGATGAAGCAATGCAATGCAATGCATTACAATGTGGTTCTGCAGCAGGGGGTCCGAAACTGCTCATTCTTATCCCCATCTACACGGTGAGTGGCTGCAACCGACCAAGGTTGTTGTCAGTGACAGCAGCACAAGGTGAGAAACACAGTTGCAAGTGGATAAGAATGTCCAGCAGCAGATATGACATCCTGAAGGAAATGGGATGCACTGGTGTGGGCCAAATAGCAAGATGCACTTCAATGTCAGGGCCTAGGACAGTGTTCAGCCACTGTCAGCCATATTTTTCATGTCACAATGTTCACAAACTCTGTTATCTTTGAAATACAGCTATCAACTAATTCAAAAAATGCAAATCAGGTTGTTCCTTGCAGCACGCTATTTCATGTGGTGCAGTGTCTTAATTACCCACTGGGTTAACTGACAGGTCTCTAAAACTATTCTCAGGTGATTTGATGCATATTATACACATTTCTCACTGAGCGATAATTCCAGCAGCTTGCAAAGTGAATGTGTTCATGCGCACCAGCCTCAGATTCCCATCGGCACTGGGCACTGCATGCAAATGCACTTTTGTGCATTTGCACAGCACACACATCGCATGCTTGCGCATCGCAATACCAGCTTTGCTGAGGATGGAAGATGTCATGTACAGCCATATGCAATCAAAGTGCGTTGGACTGTTGGCAAACTGCAAAAACTTCCCTCAAAAAATGCCGCCAGAAATGGTGTCATTTCAACAAATATGAACATAAATGGTGTGACAGCACAGGACTACCTGAGAATTGCAGTCACTGAGAAATTAGTTACAAATAGGGGCGCCTTAAAAGCAGAAGGGCAGACACCACCCAAACAAACTGTAGTGCTGCTCATCCCTATTCCTACCTTAGTGCCATGAAGAAAGTCACCAGGCAGGCGGTCTTGCCTATCCCAGGCTCCCCGATGAGCAGGCCCCCCTTTTGATCCACCCAACGTCTCCGCAGCCAGTTCAACGCGTCCAGCTGATGGGGATGCAGCTGGCAATGGTGGACCCACTGAGGCTGGCTTTGCAGCTGGGCACACAAAAACAGCCCCTTCAGATTAACTAAGCCCAGGCGACAGGCAGCAATGCGCTGGGAACCACTTCCAGCGCCTGCTTGATTCATCAAAAGGTTATCTTCCCTGTGCACTTGAGTTGGCGCTGACAGCCATAGCAACGAGCTGCACACGGGGATGATGTCATTGGCCAGCACTGGATGTGAGCAAACTGTTCATATTTGAAGCTTCCCTGACGGTGCAGCACTGTCTCATGAAAATCCAAGCACTTCATTCCACAGCACTCTGTTTCAACATCTTCCAAACTGCACAGCACCCTATGCGGATGCGCATCTGAGCTCTGGACCTGCTTGGAGACCTGCTGTCAAGGGACAGAGCAAGACAATTTCTGGTGTAGACATGACAAGCTACCTTAATAAACAACAGAAACAACAGCAAATACATACACAAACCATGACTGTCTGCAACAAACGAATGCACAGGACAAAGAGATACACAGGCAGCAGCACAGGAGCAGTGAGTGTATTGTGCTCTGCTCCCACCTGATCGAGACGCCTCTCAGCTTTGCGACGGGCCTCAGCCGCCTCCTGGGCTGCATGGCGGTGGGCGCGCCTTACGGATGCGCGCTGGCGCTCCCACAGCTCCCAGTACAGAGCCACAGCCTCTGGGTTGCATAGAATGCGCGACCCTTCCAGCTGCAGCATGAGACAAATGTTTGGGTGCTGAAAACGAGCCAGGGTACCATGTCACCTGGTTGGCCAGAGACAAAGACGCAGCAGATACCTTGGAAACGAAAGACAGGGCTTTTCCTGTTTGAGATTGACTGTATCAACAGTGGTCCCTGTCCAATCAGCACTGCTGAGAGGGGCAGGCAGGTGGTGAATGTGCAGCTTGCTTCCAGTTTCATAAGGGAGCCTATTTTTTCCCAGGTTATTCATTATCAGACTTGCCTTTAGTAATCATGCATGCTGACCATGTGTAGCACAAGAGAAGCAATCGTAACAACAATATCCAAGGAATAGACACACACCTTGACTCCCAAGCAGTCTTGAAACAACTGAGACAGTGCCACAGCCTGGGAGCAATTTATCATACTGCTGGATGCGGATTCAGTGAACTTGCTTCTTTGGCTTTTCTTTTCAGCTTTTGGCCACCACTGACAGGTCATGCAAAATGACTAGAGTGTGGACAGAAACTATCGATGACGACAAGCGCCCTGTCCTACAATGTCTGTATTTCCCCTTCAAGTAGCAAAGCATCATCTCTTTTCATAACCAGAGTTTGGTCCACGTTTGGCACTTGCTGATGCATTCATGCACTTTCAGATTCAGCACAGTACATCATTACTTCATAGTGATCCTTCAGCTATTTGTGTTGTCCACTGTTTCATGCAGCTTTCTAATAAACGATGTGCTTCATCGTTTCCCAGTGCACCTGTCATCATGTCACAGCTCACCTCCCAAGTGCAGTGCTCATATCCAAGGTCCTTCCACTTGACCAGCACCTCCCAGCCAGGTCCTGTGCGGCACTGCCTGCGCGCCAGAAATCGCTCTGGCTGTGCCCATTCTGATTTGAACATGTTCACGGGTGCCGTGCCATAGTGGCGCTTGAAGTTGATGAGCTTACGCTTGGCGATCTGGGCAAGGGTTGATTCTGATACCCATTCGTTGTGGAGGTGGGAGCGCTTGGCATACTTCACGAAGTACTCTGGCTCGTCATAGCCACCTTCAGCAAACAAAGGTGCTATATGGCAACAAAGCAAAGTACTCGCACCAACAATGATAGCAAAGACAACGAGGGACCCCCTCTGCAGCAGTGCTGTGGCAACAGTACGCCCCCTGCAGCCAGAAACTTGCAACCATGCAATCTGCAATGGTGAAAATTTGAGGTTGCAGAACAAGCTGATCGTGGCATCAACAGGCGAAAGATGGCACTATGCCAATTCAGAGAAGCGCAAATGCATCAGAATTACACGCAAGGTGACCGTGTCTTGTAGCAAGTTTTGCTGAATGAAGCCGCACAGCACCGACGCCGATTGCCTATGCCACAGAAGCTTGTTGTTCAAACGATCATCCAGTCAATACTTCACAACAAGAAATGGGGAATGAACAATTCAAGTGGACAAAGCTGCACCACAAAGTGCCCTGAAGCACACTTCAAATATCTCTGCCTGGCAAGGCTGACATTGCCTGACAACTGAATGGTCTCTGCTTCTTTGCCAAGCTTCCAACCATGAAGCAATCAAGGATGCGCGCTGCATCTCAGCGCAGTCCAATGCAGAATGGTTGTCACAAGCACAGGCACGTTTTCCAATCCACTCAAGGCCTTGCTCCCAGTGGGAATTGTACAAACTGCCCAGGAATCCAGCAAACTGGCACACAATAGTACCTCTCAGGGCCACCCCGGGGTCTAATTGCAACATGGGGTCCTCACTGAAATGAAGCAGGGTGGACACCGCCTCCCTCTCCTCCTGTCGAAGCACCTCCCCACACAGGTCTGCCCCCTGCAGGCCATCGGGACTGGGCTCAGGCCGCACCTGCTGTTAAAGGCAAAAGCAGTTGAATCAGCAATCAGCCAGCAATTGAGACACAATGCCAGAGGTGATACGAACACTCAGGGATGACCACCAAGCTTCCCAAACCCAAGGGCAGAATCATCACCTCGTGATGACCCAATTCGAGGTGCTGCCTTGCCCTTCACTGTACTACAATACATGGACCACTGTGCATCCCTTTTGTTGATGCAGCTACGTACAAACTGCAAAAATGTAATCCACAGATCTGAACTATAGCAAACTGCAGCACTTGCAATGGCTCTCAGTTTGTCATGTACGCAGCACTCACGATTCTAGGCTCAATTTTGGTTCAAGCTAACAGCACCTGCCCAGACTTTTTCTTTTTTTCAGGGGAACAGATTTCAGCCAATGGACGCAAGGGTATGTTCCCACACAACTGAGCCACATTGTCACTCATTGCAGAGCTGGTGGGCCTTGCCGCTGTTCAGTGGCAAGCTGCTACCATTATCTGGAGTGTTACACCAGGGCTCTCTTCATCTCCTTTCAGTTCTCTTCTTTCCCCAGCAGCAATGGGCGATGCTGACGAAATTACTGTAGTTTTGGAGTCGACCTTTTGTTGGGCTTTCCACAGCCCTTCTTCACACTGTGCAACTGGGTTCAACATGGACAGAGAGACGGTTCTGCATGGGAACTGAGAACACACTAACTGGATTTATCCCAGCCTTCCACCGCCTGCCCGGTGCAAGGCCATCGTTTGTCAAGGCCATTCTGACAAATGCAATCCGTATACTTTACAACGGCACCAACAGACACTTTGGTGGTGAATGCCTGGGTGGTCTCATAAACAACAACAGCAAGCCCACTCTGAACGCATGCTACTACTGCCCCAACTGAGCTCAGCAGTTTGGGGCATCTCAGGGCAGCTCACCACTGGCTCATCCTCTTCCATGCCCACCACATCAGTTCTCAGATGTCTGCACTGCTCAAGAATTTCTCTGCTGGGTGGTTCACCCCTCCTCAGTGCATTGGCCATTGTTTCGATGTCGGCGAGACACGTCTTGTTCTGCCAACGTTCCACCTCCCTGCCAACAACCCCATGCAGTGACTGTGAGTTGCCTTGAGAAATGAACTAACATCTGCCTGCTGTTTCCCATCGTGTGTAATGGCATGTGTGCATAGCAGTTGTTGAACAATCGATACCTGCAGCCCATGATGGCAACGATAACAACAACAATGTGCTTGATGGAGACAATGGACTGACGAGAGCAGAGCCCTGCGCTGCCAAACACCAGTGCCTAGGCAACCAACCTTGGCAGCCTTCCTGATCACATACTTATTATCCTGTATTGCAGCTACAAATCACACCTTCGTCGGGCTCTCTCTTCTGGGGGCAGTGGGTACCTCCAGCCATAAATGTGTTCCACAACGATCCTTGGCTGCAGCTCCCATGAGCCATAGGGCAGCAGCTCTGGCACCCCATCCGCAGCATGGCTCTCGGTGTCAGATCCACCCTCCTCGTCTGCACTGCCGCCTGGTCTGCAGAGCCACAGACGGAGTCAGAACTCAAGGTGACTCAGAATGAGGCACCAACTTTGAGAATGTGAATGTGCTTGGCTGCCAGAGCAGGCTTGCACATCATCTTTCGCAATATGGAACAGAGTTTCGAAATTATTTCACTCGAGAGGGGGTGCCCATCATACAACACGTTCCTCTATTGTCACAATGATGCATCTACAAGTGTGCTGGCTGATTCCAAAACTCAAAAATTGATGTGATTTTGGAATCAAGAACGAAAATCAAAGAGCATGGGCCCTGATCTGGCCCGTGCAGCTGCTGCATTGAGAGGAACTCATGGAAAGAGCAATAACGGCCAGGAATCACAATTGGCAAACTGGAAACAGAAACAAAATTACTGGACGCCCTTTCATCGCCATTTGGGTGCAATGGCTGTGAGTGCCATACAGCAACCAACGTACTCGATGCAATGTTCTGTGACAAACAGTGTAGATTCAACATTTCATGACAAGAGAGGAGCTCATTGTTAAAGAAAGAGTGGAACATGTTGGACTGTGGCCAGTCCTCACAATGAGACTCTTTTCCATACCATGAACAATAATGAGTCTTCAATTGCAACTTGATTATTTCCTCACAGGGGAAGTGCTATTTTCCGCAAAAGTCAATCCACTTCCATGTTGCCTCCAGTGTGCCACAACGAAACAACTCGAAAGCAGCAGCAGATTCATGTTTTAGAATCGGGGCTCACCGCTTTGCGCATCACCTGCGTTGTGAAATTTGAGTTCTGAATTTTATATAACATCTGTACATGCATCCCAATGCCTTCTCTACTGGATCCCTTGGGAGTGAGGAACACCTGGCTGTGAGAGAGAACAAATTCTGTGGTTGTAGCATATTGTTGTCATCACTAACTTAGGTCCAATCGTGTTTTCACTCATGGCAAAGGTCCTCACAATGATTCCATCTTTTCCTGTCCAATCACTTTGTTTGTTCCGCACTCCAGATATGTGTCCAGCACTTGCCGTGCAGTGGGTGGCAAGAAGGATCCACACTTAGATGGGATAATTGCACAACCTCCTCCCTGTTCCCAAGTGCGTACCTCTTGCCCTTGGCAGCCTTCTTGGCACGAGTTTTTGGATTCTTTTTGGTGCGGCTTGAGTGCTGTTTGCCTGCTGAGCCATGTAGGAGGGTGGCAGAGTAGCCCCAACCTGTAATGCCACAAGTGCATGTTCATGTTTCGATTCCATTCTAGCCATCGGTGGCCCTATAGTGCGGCAAAGCGGAAAAGGGCCTGTCTTTATCTGCTAGGACGGTGGTGCTCCTTTGTATGACCAGTGGTTTCCTGGGATTGTAACACATGTCGATGCACACACACACACACTCACAACGTGTGCATGCTACCACCAGCAGCACTGTACAGCCCAATACCCCACACACTGGCATTTGAATAAAAGTTTGTCACCCCAGTTCACACAGACACATCATCCACAGTATGTGGCCACTCAGCTGAGTTCCCAAACTATTCATGCAAGGGCAGTGCTTGCAATTAATTCTGAAACTTACAACAACCAAAGATTCGACTTGAAGACATGCGCCAGCTGCCTGCCTGCCTCTGTATCAGCATCCCGCACATACCCAAACTCAACAAGCTTCCCTCAGTATTTAGGGTCTTGCTGCTCGCCACAACTTTCCTGCTTTGACAGGAGGGATGGGACCTCGCTCCCTGTTCTCAATGGATTCGATTGGGAGACTGGTATTCACAGCGACCATACTTTGGAAATCTGCAGGCCTGACCAATGGCTGACATCGCCCAGCAGGTGTAAGCGCGGTGTATCACCGCTTTCCAGTAACAGCATACCCCACACATACCCCCATCTGAGTCCTCATTATCCGATCCCCACTGCATGCCCGCCTCCTCTGAGTCCTTCAGTGACCTCTGAGCAGCAGCAATGGAGGATCGCAGCACGGGGTCCTGGCTCTCAATGCCATCGCCCCGGCCGCTCAGGTCTCCAGAACGAAAGGGCTTCAGACTTGCAGGGGACAGCCAGGCATACTCCGCCTCCTCATCGTCCTCTGCAGCACCACAGGTGGCAGGCTATTATGTACCAAAATACAAATCCATTGGGACAACAAATTTAAGGTGAAGGAGTTCTTCTTCGCACTTGGCTTGGATGATCGAATGGTAGAGACAAAGCGTAGGGGCCACACCAGTAAAATGCAAACTGTTGTGTTTGGTGCATACAGCCAAATATGCATAAATTTAAAGACCTTTAAATTATCAGCTCAGATCAGCCTTCTCAATGGGGCAACAATGCCCTCTGCCTTTGCAACTTGCAATTGACTACAAAAGAAAGGCCTTCTGCACTGAGCATACATTCAAAGATTATAAACTGCCTTTGTGCATGAAGATTGTGAACCACACCGCTGAACAATTCTTCAACTGTTGTGAAACTCTTGTGAAATGCCAATGCACGCTTGCCAGGGACTGGCTGTCACATCAGCAGTTGCTTCCCAATGCCGAAAATCTAAGAGCTTTCATTAAGAGCAGCACATCAACCATCTGTCAGCATACATTGTCAGTGTTGAAGTGCTGGCATACACCTTGAAAGAGCAGCACTCTTTGTCCAAGGTGCAGATTGCCTCCAGTTCTCAATACAGGGCACCCAAAGCAAAATCTACCAAGTAGAATTCTCACCTGTCTCCCCACATGCCCGCTTGCAAGCAGAGATGGGAAACTCCGCTGTGTCCATCCCAAGGTTCACTTCCCCCGGTATTCCTGAAGGTGTAAAGAACACAACAGGGATGTAGGAAAATGCCTGCTGAGCACCGCCAGGTGGAGGTCCAACCTGCGACAGAAAAAGAATCAGCACAGCAAGTGAGATACCATCCAGTAGTTTTCTTCCACAAACAGCTTGGCGCCAAGCGGTGACCATGGAAGTTCCCATTCTCATCTTGGTGCTCAGCTGGTTCATCTACAAAGAGGAAGCCAAGGATTTCCAGTGTGATTCTGCACTGCTTCGGTCTTGCGCGCTCTCCTTGAAATTGTGCAATTATGGTTCCTCATTTTCCTGCCTATTTGAAAGTTTGTTTGCCATGTTCACACATCCTTAAACGTCATTGCACAGCACGCTTCCTGGTCTGCCAGCACGTGCCAGAGGTGGAATGCACAAGTGAGCGAACCCTGCATGTCAGCCACTTATGCACACTACAACAATATTACAACATTGCTGCACATCACAACGTGGGATGCACTGTTACTACAGCAATGCAGTCGCAACAGAAACGCACCTCGATTGGGACAGCCCTCCTCCTTACAACACATGCCGGCCACCAGTCATGTCCCTCCACTTTGGCCCACACAAGTCGGGCTGGATGGAACCTGTGGTGTGTGTGCTGGTGAGCATGCTCCTCGTAGGCAGCAGGCCCCTTGCCAGCACCATCACGGCCCTGCACGGCACATCATTATTCAATCATGTGTCCACTGTCAGGCTGCTACACACTTGCATTGCACATTGCTTGGGATCCTAAACCCACAAGCGCTGTGCATAGCCTGTGCATTGAATTTCATGCTGAGCCGTAGAAACGCAGCTGCAATTGCATGACAGCTGTTGTCATCTGCAGAATTGTGGAAATGTTGAATTGTTGGTAGAGTGAATTTGATGTGCGAGTTACGCAAACACATTGCATTCTGTCATCACAAACAAAATATAGAAAATCAGGCAACAGAGCAAGCATGGTGTCGTCTTGAAGCTTTGTATTGTCATGACAAGCACCAAAACAGAAAAGTAAGTACATTCCCACTGTCTGCAAGTCACCAAGGCATTGCGGAAGAATTCGATACTGCAGGTTGTTCACAACCATGTGGCAGTCCACAATTAGGACAACAGATTCCCTGGCTCAATCGAATCACATTCCATTTAGCTTCAGCCGCATTCTACTGGTACTACTACCCCACTATTTCCCCATGTGTGAACGACTATCACTGGTGTTGTTCACCACAAGAGTACCATTTACTTTGTCAAATCTGCACTGCAATAGCATTATTTATTTCCTATTTTCAAGTATTACTTACTTCGATTCGCCTACTGAATCTGATTCAAGCAATGACAAACAATCATGTCAATGCCCAAGTATCAATTCACAACATGGGCCAACACCTTCCCCGTGGAACATCAAGCGGATCACTGATATCTCCAGCTGTGCAGAATACAGCCCACTGGCGCTGCAGAAACTCACAAATACTGTGGCAGGACTCACAGGCATCTACATTGAGACCAACTCACTCAAATACCGCACTAGGCAGTTGGTGTTGCACCCATGTGAAATGTTATATAATGGAGTGTTGGCTGAGTGACCCATCTGTCAGTTGACTAATCGACTGACTAACAGCATTTCAACGCACAGCGTATCTGTGATGTGGTTACATCATACCTCCATCTGTTCTGTTCCCATCCCAACCAGCACCTCAGCCACGTCGGCGACATCACCAGGCGGCTTCGTCATCTTGGCCTTAGATGGCTTCCTCATGCTCTTCGGTGCCTTGGAGGGTGCCCCCGCCATGGGCGTGCCACGTCCCTTGCCACCGGACCTGCCCTCGGTTGCTTCCTTTGGTGTGGCAGACTTGTTTTCAGCAGGGGGATTGACAATAAGATCCCGCGATCGAGTGCGGCTGGTGGTCCTTACAGGGCGTGGGCTAAAGCCAGGCCTGGTCTCATCTGGGGCCGCATCGTGGTCATCTATTTCATCAACTTCAGGGCCCGCTTCATACCTGAATGGGAGTGTAATAGTGTCACTCAATCCAATAAACTGCTGAGGGTGACAAATCGCTGCCCTTGAGCATTCCAATGTGAACTGCACTGGCATTGGCTAGCTGTCACTCAGACAATCCCGAAAAGTTGAGGGTGGCAGCCCACTTTGCACAGGTGACATGACAGACTGGATAGTTACAGGTGGGCATGAGCATGTTCCCGTTCATGCACATAACTGCAAAAAGAAGTAAACAAACAAATTGTTGGTGTGAAACACAGAAGAACCGGAGAGAAACACATGAAAGTTACAACAGAAAGAAACAGAAATACATGGACATTACAATAGAAATAGCAATAAAAGTAGAGATAGACATAGAAATAGCAAGTGAAAGTGAAAGCCAAACAGAAGTAGAAGAATGCACATGTGTAGATTGTCATGCACAAGACTCAGGATTGTAGGTGAATCTTAATGCACCTGGTGCACAGTCAATGGCAAGACACCCACACTTACCCATCTAAGCATCCCTCCTTTTCGCGTTCGTCATCCATGTCTTCTTTCTCGTCCTTGGCAAGCACACGCGGATGTGGGTTAGAGCTGGGCAGAAGAGACCCAAAGCACATTGGCAGATACTGTGCAATCTTTTGCCTTGTTCCTTTGGAATGAATGCTGTCGACTCAGCCAAGCATCCAGTGCATATAGTGCATGACAGCAACGTTTGCCACATCTACCACTGCTGAAGTGCAGATTTGATTCCATTGGTGCAAGTCATTTTAATTTTAAGCATGCTGTGCCGTTCTTGGGGTTTGAGTTCAAAATATCCACCATTATTGCTTTGCATCTTCAATGCAACACGGTTCCAAATATCCACCATTATTGCTTTGCATCTTTTACTGCAACACGTGGAGGTATAAGGACTCTGGAGATCGCAATTGAGCACATGTTGAGATTATTGGGAGTTTATTTTGCACTGCTTTGAGACTGTAACAATCATCAGTGGTACGGGCGTCAATCGAGCAGCTGCTGCGGGTCAGCACCAAACACAGCCCAAGCCCAAGCTCTGCATAGCTGCCATTGAACAACACCGGAATGCCTTGCACCGCAGTAGCGTCGCCAATCCAAACTCCAACCAGCAATCACCGCCAGCTAAGACACTGCTTCGTCATGTTCTGACAAATATCATCACATTCGGATCGGCAGCACAGTAGCAGCACTGAGGATGCACCAAGTGTCAAGACAATGTTCTATGACAAGTCTACAGTGATATTTGTGGATTATCAAGTCAATGGCTGGTCCTTTTTGCAAGCCTCCTCTAACGACAGTTCAGCCAGATGGCCACGGTGCATTCGCAGAGAGAGCCTGCATCCCTGAGGCGAGACATTGGCCCAGGCACAACCAGGCATGGTACCTGCCCAGCGAGCACGTCGTCTATCTCTTCGTTTGAGAGGGCTTGGGGTATGCTGCAAGATGCAAAATTCGGGTCCCAAGCATTGTCTGAGCAGGTCCAATTCTCAGATATGTCTGTGTCCTTCAGGATGTAGGGCACCTGTACAAGCACGCACATACATTAGTGTCATTATGATTGCCTCTGTCTGTTTTGCTGATACATATATTGTGTTGTGACCCAAGGGGATACTATTGGAATGGGACAAAGGCAAATGCTCTTATGTTGCATGACCCCTAGTCTGAGCACCAACAGGAGCAGACAAATATAACTGCGAAGCGGTATGCATGCACTGAACACATTGTTACAAATGTGGAGAGCATCGCAGCGCAAACACAACACAAATATGGGAACAAAAGATTTTCAATGAAGTCCGGCACGTGTTGGAGCTGTCTTGAAACTTTGTAGGATTGGATACAGCCGACAGACAGGACGTGTTCTTCATTCGTTTCATGCGGTATGCAAATGGCCATTGTGTTTCAACATTATTGAAGGGTTCATTCTCACATTCCATTGGGTATCGCCCTTCAGGGCTTGTCCTTTCTCCAACTTGAATCCGAGTCATAGTGTTCAGCTGCCACCTTGCAATACTGATGGTGTACCAATACGGCTGCAGCATAGGTGCTGCACCTGGGATCAGCAGAGCAACAGCACTCTTGCGGTAGCATATGTTAATGCAAAGTCATAGCACTCCCTGCCTTGCCCCCAAAGAAATGAAAACGAAATAGGAGTATATATAGCTCTGAGATCACTGCATTGTTCAACTGCAGATCAACTGAGCTCATCTGGCGATGAAGGGCAAGAGGCCCTGATGAGTAGCTAGTTGGCCATCTGTGCTGTGTGGTGTGCAGAACCATTGCATTGGACAAGCACTGAATGGGTACTGGATACAATCTCTTGATTGCCCTTTGCAATAAAGACCAAAGCAATGGGTGGTCCTTCTGCACCCGTCATCGCCTGCAGGATGCAAGGGCTTGACTTGTCATGCCTTCTGACAACTGTACTGGAATTTTGCCACAGCCTCACTGTCCCAGAAGCGTGCATTCCAGCACAGGTGCAATCAATCCAGAATCTGGGCAATACAAACTGCAGCACAATTGTTTGGCAGACAGTTCCCATGCAGCCACAAGTCGAATAGCCAAATGGACAACTGAAAACAATAGCTGCCGTGTGCTGATTCAAGGCTACATTCATGCACTTGTTTGATGGTTGTGTTGTTGTACGGCATTCATTTTGAGACCTTTCAGCAGTGAGGGGAATTTGTTAATGGTATCAGAACTGATTTGTTTGCTTCGCCAGTAAAGCGATTATCTGGCAGAGCTTGGTGGAATAGCAGATTTTCTGCATGCACACAACCATGGCCAGCCCCTGAGTCCAAACCAGCTTCCACTGGTGAGGGGGCTGCGTACGCAATGGCTATCACCAGGCCTGCAGGCTGTGTGACACTGTGCTCCTTAGCATGTTTTCCCCCGAATCCACTTGTCAGCAGATGCAGAGGCAGGCTTCACCTCCAGCAGAGCTTTGAGGCTGGAAATTTCAGGAGCATGGCTATAGCAGGGCTTCTCCAGATTCTTGGAGCAAAGGAGCTTACTAACAACCCAGGGTACAGGATGCAGGTCACAACTTTATGCTTCCTGATCACATTCCAGCAGCATCTGCAGCACCACAATGGACTGTGGCAACTGAACAACATGCGCAATGGTACATCTGTGCACCTGTGCATGTTGCAATTCCAAGCAGTCCAACATCACATCTGCTGCTCTGGGAGGGGGGTGGTGCCTCTGTTCCCAGGTGGGACAACAAAACACAGCTCCAAAAGCCCAAAACAATAGCAAATGGGTGGCAGGAATCGAATTGGGAATCGATTCAGGAAACGCAACAGGATTCGCGAAGGTGGCCCCTCACCTTGCGCCACTTCTTGCACGTGCTACACTGAACCCATTTCTGCAGGGTCTCCTGCTCCCTTTTCTTAACGCTGCGCGTGAAACGTGGCAGCCCCGGGCCGGAGTCAGTGTCACCACCTCCCACCGGCGGCTGCCTGGCAGGAACGGCGGCAAATTTGCGCTCAGCTCCAGGGAGCATTGGGCATGGCCCTGGCGTAGTGGGGGACGATAAGGCCGTCAAAGATGGGACAAGCTGTTGACAGGCGATTAGTCACCCTTGGCCAACCCCCGGGGCGGAAAACGTTTGTGCAACTGTTGGCCTGAGACAGGCGTTGTTCGAGGGCCTGAGGGTTTAAGGGTGGAAAAGGGGTGCAGATCAGGACATCCAGGAAGGTAAACCAACACTCCTGTGAAGTTCGCTGACCATCCCACCCCAACCATTTTGTGACCGCGGATGGAGGCGCCCAGGGCGCAAACAACAGCACAGCATCCCGCCTCTGAAGCAACAGAAGCAGCGCATCCACCGACTACAACCGAAAAAAAATTGCGCGTCGCCACGGGGCTGGCACCGCCGCTGGGCCTTGCCGCACCCGCAACCGACGGCCGGACGAATCGCGGCTCGTCGCGACTCAAGCACCGCGGCCTGCGCCCTCCCAGAGCCGCCCCCGACCCCCCCGGCCGTCCGAGGCCCGGCCGCCACCCGGCCGCTCGCCCCGGTCTACGGAATGCCTACGGACGACGACCGCTGACGAAGCTGCCCCTCTTTGCGGTCGATTTTCCGTCGCCGCCGATTTTCTCCCCTACGCGGCCGACCCCGGCCCTCGACCGACCCCACCGCCCCTAGCAACGTCCTGGCTCCTGGTGCTGCTCTGAGAGCCCTTCTCCCTCTCTCCTCCGAGCCGCCCTCCCGCCGCCCTGCTCCTCACCTTGCCCTCCCCTACCCCACTCCCGGGACGGATTTCGCTCCTCACACATAGGCGCTGAAAACAGCAGGTAGCCCAGGTCGTCCCTTCTCCCCTCCTCCGCATCCCATTTGCCGGCCACCCCATGCCGGGCCCCGGCCCGCCGGTCGCACATTCCCCCCTTTCGTCAAAATTCCCCGCGCCACCAAAATCGCCACCGCGGCACTACCCTCCTCCCCCCCAGCCCAAACCCTTCCCCCCCGGCCACCCCGCCTCTCCCATGATCGCCCCAAGGGCCCCCGCAGGTTCCTCCCGGCTCCCCGCCGGGCCTCGATCGCCGCGCCCACGCACAAACACAAACCACGGCGCTGGCCCCGGGGGCCCGGTGCTCACCTGTCCGTGCAGCGCACCCTGGCCGGCCCCGCCGGGCGGTGTGGCGCCCGCCCTCCTTGCATCGCCAGCTTTGGCCCAAACGACCTGACAGCTGCCCCTGGCTGCCCGCACGGCTCCAGTCAAACGAAAGCGGGCGAAAAAACGCGCAAACGAAGAAAAAAACAAAAAATTGCCCAAATTCGGGCGAAAAAATGGCCGGTGGACGGACGGGCGGGTTGGGTGGCCCTGGGTGGGTGAGTTGGGAAAGGCTCATTACGTGAGGCCATCACGATGGCTTCGGGTTGACAGCAGATGTGTTGCGTTGAGGGCGTCCGCTGACTGCCCACAGCGTCTGTGGCCTCTCTGCGCGTGGCCCCCGCGGAGGGCATGTGAACGGGTGGGCGCTTTGAGCGGCCGAGGAGCCGCGCTGTGCGGCCGACTCGCTCGAGCGGCGAGCTGCCTCTGCGAAATCTAGGAGCAGGCGCGCCTGGCCGGGCTGTTGGCCGCGAAGGCCGCCGGCACCAGTCGCCTGTGGCGGTCAACGGCGGCCGCAGATACAGGAATGCAGAAGCGCCCCAGTACGGAGCCCAGGAAGAAGAAGCTTTCGTACATATGGTGTTACGACAAATGTGCAGGTGACCGTTCGTGCAACACCTGCAATACACGACCCAGCAGAATGAATCATGGCCGCATCCAGGGCCGCCAACGGAGCCCAGGAGGGTCTGCCGATCAGCGGGAGGGCCCACGGCAGCGGAGAACCGGGATCGGACGTCCTGGTCGATAGTGGTGGCTGTGAAGATCTGGCCGCCAGCCAGATGCCGTTGTGATGGGCGGGGAATGCCCCATCACGCAACGTACTCGGCCCTGGGTGCCGCCGAGAGATGCGCGCGAAGGGTATTCGGGTGGTCCGCGGCAGACCTTGCGGCTGCTGGTGGCTCCTGCCGAGTGATGGACCTCCGGAACATTGTCGTGGTGGTCCGGCTGCGGCCGGTGCCGGTTCGCGGCATGGCGCCTGTGGCTCTGGCCGACTGCCGTGGGCTCTGGGATGCGCCACCCACGGCGAAATTAGTCAAAAAGATGGTGAAGGGAGCCATCGGAGCGGGCCCGACATGGGTGCGCGGCACGGAATCACAACACCGCCAGCTCGCCATTTGACCTAAGGGGAGCTGGCTGAGCAGAGGCAACAAACCAAGAAAAACGGAAAACAACAGCTGCTGACTGATGAGTAAAGAACAATAAGAAACAAAACACAATGAACAACAATTAAAAGATGAACATCAAACACTGAGCGACATTCTTAACATGATCAACGGAGAATAATGAGCGCGGGCATGCCAGGCTCGCGATTGATGGAATAAAGTGCGCAGCACAGCGATCGCGGTTGTCGCTCCTCGCGTCAGGTGCTGCGGACCATAACCTAGCGTGACCGCCGCCGCCGGCCTGCCGCGGAAGCAAGCGCAAAGGATGGTAAGCACGGCGGCGGGGAGAGCAAGCCACGCTAGCGGGAAGCGCAGAGATTTTTCACAACCCACCCACCCACAGCCCGTGAGGGTATGCCTGGAAACGGCCCTCTCGCCTCCTTCGGGAGGAAAATGGCATATCAGGGTATGCGTGGCTAGGCGCTCAAGTATGGCGCCAAAGCAAGAATCGCAACCGGTAAGGATGCCGGAGGGCCGTTGACGATCGAACACGAGGCATATGCCCCTCTCCGTTCCGGGCGGGGGCGGACCATGAGGCCCGCCCCCGGATCGGGGCATTCGGCAAACCGTTAGGGCGTGAGTGGACCAGAAACGGGAAGGACGCGATAGCGTAACGGGACAAGAGGAAATGGCGTAATACGATTTAAGGTCAAATGGTCATTAGTTAAGATACACTCACACTAAAGGTTGTCTCCCTTGTGTCTTCAATCCATTGCACCTGGTTTTTATGTGCTTTCTACTTCTGACAGTTGTCGTCCGTGTTGTCACAGGGAGGACATCTGCGCATATCTGATGCTATAACAATCGCATGGTATAAACACAACAATACTTTTTGAACTTTTCATTTTGCATTGAAGAACAGCCCAGCTCACCCGACACCCCCTGCGGCCTAACGTGGCGCCACCTCCTGGGTTGCCAACGGCTCCATCAACCGGCATGCGCACTCCGCCGGCGAAGATGGGGTGAAATTCGCACGGGGCATCGTACGTACCGGTCCCAGTGACATAACGATACTCAATCGTCGTTGTTATATTGCACAAGCGAGTAAGGACCAGATGGGCAGATGTGTGGGGTTAGAAGTTGAGTCATGGGAGTCCATTGCATGGACCAGTGTATCAGCAGCAATTTGACACGTATGGCAGGAGAATCGCATGGGAGGGGCTGATATGTGCATGGCCGCGCTGTCAATGAATGGCCAAGGATCTGGCCAACAGTGCATTCATTCCATGCAGAGCCTGCAGATGGGCATTCGGGGCCAGAGGCGTTGCGCTTGGTGATCTTTCAAGCCTAGGACGGAAAATAGCTGCCAAAAATTGTCGTGTGGGGGATGCCCGCGATTGTCTTGCGCCTGCATTGCTTATTTCCCATGATCGCATAATTCTTACTGTGTATAATAACTTAATGTTAAATGCCACCATTGATTCTGTACACTGAAGCGCGCATGTGCACTGTTGTGTGGTCATTGCGTTTCCCCATATTTTGCGTGCAGAAGCTGCAAAACCAGGAGGATCACTGCAAGATTGACAAACCTTCCTCACCCGTTCCTTTTGGTCAAAAACTGTTACATTTCGTGTGTTCCCCCATACAGCACGGACAGGAAAGCACAAATGGAAACAAAGACGCAAGGGAACGCCTAAATCTCCCGAAGTATCAATGCGAATGGGCGCCAGAACGTATATCTCACAACTTGTCGTTTTCTTCTCCTCTCGCTTACTGCCGCGTTCCAATTGGCTACACCGAATCCTCCCTTTGTTGCCTGGAAGTTGCCTGGACAGCTTCTTTCCCTGCCTGACGCACGCAAGCAAATAGTACATTTTCTGTCCTCCAGCTCTCACACACACACGATCACAAACACAAACACACGCACACACACCCCAAGTCACAGTGTCAGCAAATATATCTTAGCCAAGGGTGGGGGGCTGTTGTTGTTAAGCCACACACTGTCTGCGCCCGCGACCCGAACTCAAGATTCAAGATCTCTCCTTTCATCAAGATATCGGCGCATTCCCGGCATGCTAACCACCTTCATGTTGCCCGCAATTAAAGCCCTTGCAAGTAAAGCACGATGCTCACAGCACCAGGCGCTGGCGCGGAAATTCAACTGGCTTGAGATAGGCAGCGGCCCTGTGACGACATGTTACACTCTACAGCCACCGCCCATCTGCACTCAAACAGCATTTGGCCCCCCACACCCAACCCTTTCACCCACCCCCCGAGCTCCACTCCTGTCTCTCCTACTACCCTCACAGTGTGCCAAAAATGCCACTTCCGATGCCCCCCTCAAATTTCCACTTGGGGATCAGTCAGACACGCCTCCTGAAACTCCACACAAACCCATCTCGAAAACGTTTCACCCTGATTTCCAAATCGCAGCTGCCAGCCTCCGGTCTTTCGAAACGTTCTCTTCGTGCCCCGGCGCCCAACGCCGCTGCGGGCAGCCCTGGGCTGTTGCCTACACGCCACTTCCCCAAATGCGTTGTTGTACAATAGAATACAAGACACTTTACAGCTCCAAACTCCCCATCTATCACTACTTTTGGACGGGGGTGGGGCCTCCAATACTTCTGGCCAGATATCTCGGAACCACTAAAGGCGTGCAGGCCTTTTGGACGCCGCCCCATCAAGTCCAACAGCCCTCTGATCTGCAATCAGCCGCGTGAGCACATCAGATCAGACAGGTCAGATGAGATCAGATCAAATAGATCACATAATATCAGCAGAAGAGGGGCGCCTGGTACACCATCCGCCACATCTCCCCCACCAACCCCTCCACAAGGCAGAACATCCCCACGACCCACACTGCCGCCCCGAAGGCCTTCATGCACCCGCTGGGCTCGAACCTCTGGATGAGCCACGCGGGTATGATGAAGCTGATGCCTACGGCGGCGGTGCAGCCGATGATGTCGATGGCGTTCAGCACCGAGCCACACATCAGCGACATGACGTACATGGCCACCAGGATGGCGGCGGTCATGACGTTGAACCGCCAGCCCGTGGGGCGCTGCGTGCCAAACGCCAAGTCGGACAAGTTCTCCCTGAGCGACCAGTTTCCTAGAGGGAAAATGAGGATGAGCTTGCCGGCGTAGCCCAGGGCAACAAGGGAGCTCAGCGTCTCCGCCATGTCGGGGCCCATGAAGGCACCCAGCGCCTTCGGGTTCAGGTTGACCAAGATGTCTTGCTTGGTTTCGTCGCCGAAGACCAGGCTTGCGGACACGCCCACGACGATGTAGAGGATCGTCGTGGAGACTATGGAGATGCGCACGGCCTTGATCATGCGCGGGCGGCTGTAGTCCCTCAGCTCTGCCATCTGCGGGAAGGACGGGGCAACGGCGTCAGATCGTTGAGGGCTTTGCGTGGCATCGACGCTGCGGTCGCTAAAGAGACTGCTGCCCCTTTTGCAGTTTGTGTTTTGGGCTTTGGGGCGCAGCGAGCGTTCCAGGGCGCAGCTCCATCTGCAAATGGTCAACGAATCGACCCCGGGCAGGTCAGAAATAGAGTAGTCACTCCAGAGACCGGCGCCAACACAGTAGGTGCATTCGCCAAATGCTAGCAAGCCAGACTTGAGGCACTACCCTTGAGCGGGAAAGGCGATATTGACCATGGGGCTCCTCGCGGATTGTCCGGAATGCGCTGCTGAAAATTGCCACCAGAAACATGCTTCATACCACAAGATGGGTCCCATCTAAGCATGGTTTTGGACCTTAAAAAAGGTTTGGTCTAAGACAATCTCTATACAGCTAGAAATTGTGAAAACTATATTTTTGCCTGCAGCATCATCCCCAGAGATGCCAAGGACTCCCATCAAAAGAAAGTGCCATCATTCCAGCATTTAAGCACCACAAGCGGTCGCACATATCATCAGCTGCTTTCTCGAGAGCAGAAAGGCAGAAAACTCACCAACGGTGGCACGTTGAAGAGGTACACGAACGCGTACAACAGCACCGGCACTCCCGTCATCACGACCGCCGCAATGCAGTTCTTGTGCATGTCGGGCTCCTTGATGGAGGGGTCCATGCCCCACGGGATTTTATCAAATTTCCCCTGGAACCCCACCACGACGGCCAGCAGCGTGGTTGCCACTGCAAAGGCAGTGGCCAAGCCGATTGCGAAAGTGCTTGTGTGAGCCAGAACATGCAGGCGCCTACGCGACGGACACAACGGATATCCCATGAGCAAAAGCCGTTAATGAGAAGTGGTCGCAGCGGCATAACTCTGTGGATTGCCAATATTGGCGGCGCACGAAGAAACCACGCCCTGCGCCCAGCACTCGAACACTGGCACCGCCACTATCAACATGCATTCGTGCATTCTCTGTAAACCCAGTTCCACAAACTGATTCAAAACGCAGTCTGCAGCGCGTGGTCTGAGCCATCTGTGCAGTGCGTCATGCGGCCAACGCAATTTGAATACAGTCTCTTGCAACATGTTAAGTTCGCCGTTAGTCGCAATGCAATGCCACCCAACTACTGGCTCATGGCTGACAGGTGGTGACTGATTGTGTGTCACTACACCGAAGGCCAATCAGGACTGACATGGACGGCCGCTGCGCCTTGTTAGAAAGCGTAAAAAACACGCATGCAAAATGCGCATGAGCAACTCAAAGTGCATGGCATTGTTCATGACTCACCCTGTAAAAAATTTGACCATTTTGCATAGTGTACACTTGTGCGAAATCGTGCTAACACCTTGCGAAAATCAGATACTTCGGGGCAAATCGGAGGTACTCAGGGGTACTTCGGAGCACGGCTTTACAAGCGGTCAAGGACTGTGTCCATTTGACGCTGAAATTGAACTTCCACACTGTATGAAGTTGCAACCTATCCAACAGCGTGGGCATTGTGACAGGCTGAGGAGTCTATCAGTAAGTGCGAAGATGTGGCTCTGGGGTGTCATTGAGTGCGCCCTCTCACAGTTCCTGCACAAATTTCATCATATTCTTATGACTCGATTTATCGGCTACGCATTCAACATCTGGCATGTGGCATGTTTGAGAGCTTAATCGAATTGGAATTTCAACTGACAGCTTCCCACGGTGGTTTGATCATCACTTGCCAGTCACTCACTTTTGGAAGACCAGCGGGCCCAGGAACACGATGCACACCATCATGACCTGCAGAAAGTTCCACACACTTCAATGGTACGCTAATTGGCTGAACTCTCTGCATGTCGGCCATCACAATACGCTCGCCTGAAAAGAGAAATCTACAACAATGGTTTCTGAATATTCTTTGTTGCTCCAAGCCCCTGCACGATCCCAGTCGCTCTTCCGCCCGCCGCACCACTCACCGGCGTTGACCTTCAAACTTTGGGGGCTTTCGAGCACCTGGCGTGAGCAAATGGAGACAGATTGGGCAGTTCCAGTTGTGTCACCATAGAATACCCAAAGCGGCGGAGGCAAGCGCAATCGTGCTGGAGCCTCGCCAACAGTGGCATATGTGCTTACTTGTCCATGCACACCTTGGCTGGACAATGAGCTGCCTGCCTGTCTTGCTGCATGCAACACCCATGCATTCTTGGCTTGATTCCATTCAACTACAGCATTTCAAAGCTGATGTGTGCTTCCTTAGCGGATCTTGAATTTCGACAAAGAGTCGCCCTGGCTGCATCGCGGGCCCCGAGGCTGGCACATGTGAATCAACAAGCACCGCGCAATTCGATCCACGCGCTCAGCCTGAGCGGCATTGTTCACGCTCGTTGCATAGACTGAAGGAATCCACATGGAGGTGGCGCGGAGGTATTGAAGTGCAGCAGCAAAGGTGGAAACCACCAGCGAAACGAACAACAAGACGAATCGTGCTCAGCATGGAAGCATGAAAGGGAGTGATCACGTGTGCAATTCAGACGAGTTCCCCATGTATGTGAGCCAACCACCAGTTCTGTGCTGGCTTGAATCGTGCGCTGTCACAATGAACTATGCTAGTCCTCATTTGTTAGTTTGCTTGCTGGAGAGGCGTGGCTGGCGGCCTTACCGAGAACCAGCGGCTCAAGTACCACGGGAGTTTTCCCGCCTCTGGGTGGATACCAAACCATGACGTCACCAGTCCATGGTATCCAGAGCTTTGCGTGCCGACCATTAGGTCCCCAATAATGATCAAGTAGACCAGCAGGATTCCTGGCAATGAAGGAAAAATCTTCCTCAGCTATGTGTTTTCAAGCGTCGGAGATACGTGGTTCAGAAGAATTGTTTTTCCCAATTGCAGCGGCGGCATGCAACTGTACAAACGAGTATAATTCTACGTAATGCGATGTAAACGCGCATAAAATGTGTGTTCATTTATCAGATGTACTTTTCTCGTAAATGTCGAAAATGTAGCAGGGAGTTTACCACCACGGGTTGGCAGTGTATGTTCAATGACTGGCGAGTCTTTTTGCATCAACACTTTTGTTCAATATCACCTCGACGAAATTTCCAGAGGCCACCAGGTCAAGACAAAAAGTGTCCCCACCACAATTGCTTAATTCCAAACACTATTACTTGGCCTCAACGTGCGCCACGTACTGATGACAATGCCCGAAAATCTTCAAAGGCAACTCAAAGTAATTAATTAAGTTAACTACACACCAACCGACAGCGACTTTCGCGCTTTTGATGCCAACTGCTTAATGAACTTAACAAGCGCAATTAATGTGTTGAGCAGGAGGCGGAAATTCCCCTGGTATTGGCACTACAACCCAATGTGCCGCATTGCACACCTGCATTGTTGAGAATAATGGAACACTGGACGATAAATCCAGCCCATGATCCCAGTTGGCTCCTCGCCAGCTCAGTGTAGGTCCTCTCGGAGCTTCGGTCGGCAGCCCTAGGCCACGGCAGCCGCATTTGATCAGTGTTTTTGTGGCAGGCGCTGAGGAATGAGTGGCAGCTAGCCTGGTGACGTGCAATCCCAGCGGATGCGGCGGACCCGTCAAGCACCAACAGGGCAATGCTTCTTGACAGTGAAACAATTGCAGGTGTTTGGTCGCGATGAATTACTCTATTAATTGAATGCTGCTGATATCCTGCAATAACATTCTATAGCCTATAGTCTATAGCAGCGACAGCCACTGGAACATTCTCTCTCGGTACGGTACTGTCCAGTTTCCAAAAGATGTGCGCAAACAATTTGCCACAGATAAATGTGGAACCAACTTGCACACTCTTAATTTTGGGATTTTGCAGTTCAAAGGATTTTGCTTCACGGCAGAAAACAAGACTTCCAGTTGTGTCCGTCTGGCCGCTGTCTGAACAACAGTCCCAGACTTTTCACACAGAAGACGGGCAAAGCATACCACCCGACGCAAATACTACTGCACACCACGGTGGTGTTTGCCAAGTGTTGGAGGGAGGGTGACTGCGGTCAATTCAAGGAATGATAAGGCATCCGTTGATTCAAACTAAGGACAGGCATATGCCAGCAACAGCAGGTTGATGTACCAATTCAGGCTTCCACCACTGCACTGAATTGAGCTCGCAGCACTTCTTTCCACATGGAGGAATAAATGAAGCTGTGCTTTGCATCGTGACTGGGCTCAAGACTGTCCCAGAAACAACACATGAGGCTCCAGCCAGTCAATTTTCAGTAAACTGCCTCTGTGCATAAGAACCGCTGCAGTACACACGTGAAACTGAAGGGTGAACTGCAGGTTGGACAACTGTGCCACAGGTTGCAAGCCCTGTGGCTGCAATGATGGGATAGCGCCCCATCACGTCAATCTATCTTTGTCTCATCACTGAATGAGGAGCACTGACCTCACCAGCACTGCGGAGCACAGGTACATGAAGGTGGCCACCACAATTGTCATGAAGACACTCAGAATAATGCCCATCATGGCGTACACACGTGGCAGAGCCATCAAGCCTGATCCGATCACAAAACGTTTGAGGTTCCCATCGCACTCAAATATGCAGTCGCTTTGGTCACTGGATGCATGAACGCTTGAGTGGGCCTGCATGTATCAGTACAAAGGACGATTCATCGCCGTCCCCTTGGGTCCAGAGTGAATACAGTGATGTCAATTTTCAAATATGTCAGACCATTGCCACTACACACACAAGCAAGGCGAAGTCGGGCATGAACCCACCCATATATATACGAAGGTCCCAAGGCTCGACTGCATGGGGACAAGCCTTTCAAAGATGGTAGATCCCTTAATATGTGCCCTTTGATCCCGTCCCCTACGGAATGGAGTGGAGCCCTGTATACTCTGTTAGTTGTGGAATGTCCAGGTTCCGGTGGCAAGTGCAATTGTGCTGGTTCTATAGTCACAAAATCACTGGCGGACTCTGCCTGCTCTGTGCGCCTGTGGACGTGTATCACCCGCGGGGCTAGGCCGATCAGGCCGCGATTCCATTATTTTGGCTGCTATGTTCCCCATGTTCAAAACCCAGTTTCAGGTGGTGGTGAATCTCGGAAGCAGCACTAATTTCACGCCTGTTGACAATTGCATCGCTTCCTCGCAGACTTGCACGCAGCCAGGAGCGCCATTATCTCAGAATGGAACCCCTTTCGGGCCAGTCTTGCATCAACAGCGTGCTCAACGCGAAACTGCGCCTGGGCGAGTGATCGTATACCATGCGGTAGACACCACGGCGAGTCGTCACCAGCGCAATATCTCAACGCGGCGGACAGGGTCAAAAGGGCCGTCAAGGGCCACGATAGGCACCATTGGGACAATCAGAGCCTGCCGGGCTCTGGAATGCTGTCACATACGTTGGAAGTCGCGAACGCAATCCAAATGCAAGACATCGCGGCAAGCACGCACAAAGTATTGGCGCAAAAGCATCCACCTAGCATGAGCGTTCTGGAACGCCCTTGGCATCGTCGCCCAGAGGCTCTTGCACCAGAGGTGTGCCCTTTTGCGCTCTGCCATGACGTGCCCCAGAGGCACGTCACTTGTCAGCGAAGTGCGGATTTCGACGCCTTGCACCAGCGCGCGCTCGTGGCTGCGACAGGATGGCCCGCGCTCGTGGCTGCGATTCATACCGCCTCGCGCAGCGTCGCCCTTCCGGCGTCTTACCGGGGGCCATGGACAAAGCGAGAGCCCCCTCCCCCGTCCCAAGGGTGTGGGCCCTACGCCAACAACAGGCGCGATCAGCCAATTCGCATCCCGCGGTCGTCAGGCGCCAAGGCAAGGGAATCTTCCCGCCCAAATCCGGCGTCAACGGCCACTGGGCCCGTCGGGACGCCAGGCGCCCACCCCCCAGGACAGATACCCGCCTGCTCCGATCATGGTGTTCATCAGGTTGAAAGCGGTGCCGTTGACGCTGGACCGCCCCTCCAGTGGCGCCGTCGCCGGCGGAGGCCGTGCGACGGCGATCGACCGCCTCGGCGGCGCCGCGCCGCAGTCCACATCGCCGATCTTCCTGCGCATGGCACCGATCTCAGCCCGTGAAGCAGGACCCCCCCCTCCGCGTTCACACTTCCAGATCTCGGCAGACACAAGCGGAGCGTCGCGCACAAACGGCGTGGAGGTATCCCTCATGAGCCCGCTGTTCCCGTTGATGAGCCTCCCGCGGTCGCGGATCTCGCTGCGCAAGCAATTGACAACGCGCAGCGGGCAGCAGATCCAACCAAGCCGCTGATCGGAAGCAGCATAATCCCCGCCCCGCTGCCAAGCCCCCCCGCCCCAAAGCAGCGCAGTGCGCTGAAGTTCCTGCTCAAAAAGAGTCTAGCGCGAAGGCCACCACCCACCCACCTCCTCGCGCTGAACAGAATGGGCCTCCAGAAGAACCCCCTCGGCTCCCCTCCCCCCTCCGGCCCGTCCAGCAGCGGCACCGTCGTGTCGTCCACCTGCACTACCCTCGTGTCCGGCCTCGCGCCGATCCGCAATGGCCCCATCGGCGATCCCCGCCCCGACCCCACTCCTCCCCCACCCTGGCCGCCGCCGCCTAGCGCCCTGCCCATTGCCGAGGGGCCAAAGGGGGGAGGGCGGGGGGAGGGCGGGAAAGTGGTGCCGGCGGAGCAATCTGGTGGTGGTTGTTTTGCGGCCGCTGGAAGCACCACCCGTTGCGGCTTCGCCCGTCCGTCCGGTGAGGAGCGCCCGGACGGCGGGCCGCTCGCCATTGGCTGCCCGGCGCCCACGCGCGCTGGCGTTGGCACGCATCAAGCCGCGGGGCGGAGGCGGGGGGATTGGTCATCGGGGGGACAGTCAGCCGGCGCGGTGCTCGGTCGCGGCCCCGCAATAGCGACCCGTGAGTGGGGACGTCACATCCCCACCCACAACACCCCCACCCCGAGACGACACGAGCTTATGTTCGATGAAGCCACATAATGGGCACCGTTATGCTGACTTATCTCATAATTGGCTCACGAGGGGTGTCGACGGTATGCGTGATACACACTGTATGGGATGGCCCGAGTAACCCGTCACTGTTGATGGAAAAAAATGAAATAAAAAGTGAGAACACTTCCGAAATATTGGGGTTGTAATGCCCTGGGAGTGAGTTTTGCCGGAGAAAGTGAGGGAGGCAGGGGCTGACTGGAAGGAGTCACTGTGTGCACTCAAAAGACTCACGTCACTTGTCAGTTGATCAGGCCCAGATTGATCAGGCCAAAGATGATTCTAGGAGGTCCTGCCCATCAAGGGTGCAGGCTTGCGTGCAAGCCGAGCTCGCTTGACGCATCAGCGATCCTATGGTCCTTGGGGGCCATTCAGACAACCCAAATGACGAGGGAGGGCACATAGTCTGTTGCTTTGCAAGAAAAGTGGGTATCATGTGACCGCAAGCTTACATTGAGACAAAATGCGTCCTGAAATATACTTGTGGCATAGGGGTCATGCAAACGAAATGGTTACCACTGTATGGCGCGCACAGAAGTGTGCACGTGCACCTAATGAACCCTTATGATATGCACGGTTGCGTCCTGACACTCATGTGGGAATGCACATGCATTCCTGGAAGCTAGAGGGTTGTGGAATGCCCTGAACTTAAGGGCCTAAAGTATATGTTGTGTCCTTCCATGGGTGAGGCAAGTTATGTAGAGAGTTCTGAGGGATCCTGGCACCTTATCGACCTATATAGCATGTGAAAAATGTCTACCCATCATTGCCATGAAGCCCTGTGTGGGTAATGTCCTCAGGACACCACTAGAAAGGGGTACAGTTGGCTTTTGTGTGGCTTAGCATGCATGACAGACATGCATGCATATGATAAAAAAAGGATTGAAATGACCAATTCCAAAAAAGACTGAAGGTCCTAGTGGGTAGGAAAAAGTCTTTCCTTGGTTTTTACGTTTACATTTATGTTTTACTTTTACGTCTTTATGCATAAAAACGTAAATTTGCAAAAGGGCCTATTATTATGGCTATTTTTATATTTTTGCAGCTCCCTGGCACGCTGCAAGGAACAATGAACCCCCATTGCAGCCAGGGGGTATGAAACAACCGAGAAGTTTGTCTGTCCCCTGCTGTGTGTTGGTGAGGAACGACATGTGAGGCAACATCAAAACAGCTCAGAAGACAAAGGCAAGGGCACCAACAGGCTGCGCACACTCTTGCGCCTCTTGGCGTTTCGTCTCAACCCACAACAATATGTTACATGCGTCCGTCCGTTACATCAATGCCGTCCAGCGAAGCCCAGCCTTCGATCCCGTACACAACCCCACTTCCACGTCCAGCTCAGGGTTCATATGCCCTCTAATTACAGAAATACTATGGTATCTTCAAAAAGAGCTGCGCATATTCGCATCTCACACAACCATTCACACCTAATCACCCGAAGCTGCAAGCCATGTCACATCAGCGGCCCAAGCACATCACCTTTGGACACCATGACACCAAGCAGTACTCCCCTCTAACCTTATCCTTACGTACCCTATATCAGAACACACCCTATAAGACTACAAACACGGTAGAGACTGATACGGCGAGGAGAGACAATGGGAGAGCGGCCAAGTTACTACAAGGGTTTAAATAGGGTGCTCACCACTATACATTGCCTGAAGGCTTTGTATTAGTGGGTGATTCGCTCTTCCCTTGTTCAAGGGACGCGGGGTCGAATCCCGCTAGGCGCAATTCGTCCCCTATCAGAGACAGCACATACAATACTTCAGCTTCACATCACTTCATCGCAGCCGTCCTTCGTCAGGATCTTTCAGTGCCACCTCAGCAGATCCCATGCGCCTCCCCTCAGCCACGCCAGCCACCTCCCTCGCCTTCTCCTGCGCGTGCAGGCTTCCAGGTCTTCGCCTTGCTCCCTTGTTTCTGCTATGTCATGCTCTTCACGCATCCAATACTGGCTCAGAACATCAAGAATGTGATTGTTGATGCTCCAATAGGCTTGGTTCTGCTGGTGGACTCGGTTGGTCTCGGGATCCCTAACCCCCAAAACCTCCTGAATCGTCTCCAGCGCTCGACCTTCTGCCTCATCCGAGATTTCATCACAACTGTCCGAGTAATCCAAGGCACCCTTCATCCACAGACTCAACTCCTCAAGGTCTCGCTTGCGCTTCATTTGATAGGCAGTCTGAGGAGGGTTGTTCTCAATCTGGAAGGCAACATCGTCGACCAATCGCTTGTGCGCCTCAATCACTTGATACGGCCACTTCAAGAAAGGGTGCGCTGGCATGTTGCCTCCACTTGCTCCATACAGCACCATACAGCACGGGCGTTGCATTACTGTCGACAGCACTCGGCTCCCTGGACCCCCTCAGTGTGAAAACGATACTTCATTTTCATATTCAGCACTTGTCAACGTATCGAATCTTCTATCAGATATTCGAGATGCTGTCACTCTTCACACCCGCTGGGTCACGTCGCCCCGTATCAGGTCATGTCAATTTACCTTCAATATAATCCATTTACACGCCATTTTCATAGTGAATATTTCTTTTTGCGACAGTGGACTGTTCTTTTTTGCGACAGTGCCTAACTACTCTTTTTTGCGACAGTGGATTGTTCGTTTTTGCGACAGTGCCCGGGACTGTTCGTTTTTGCGACAGTGGCCCAGTTGTTCTTTTTTGCGACAGTGGCCGTGACTAAAGTGTGGCTTCGGTAGCCACGCGCCAGGAACCAGCCGACCCGGCCAACCCCAACCTCAGCGCTGGGCAACCCGGTCCACTGGACTGGGACCCCTTTCCCTGTCGGCAGCCAGCGTCGGGCACGGGGAGGCCGACGACGGGGTCCACGCACAGTCCGCAGCCCCAGTTGCATTTCGAGTGCCGCAGCTGGGGCGCGTAGCGACTTAGCGTCCACCGATTCGGTGGCACCGAATCGTGCATTGCAGCGGCGGCATGGCACAGCCTGGCGGCCGCGGCGGCCTGCATTCCACCGACGCCCTCTCTGCTCCCCCAACGCGGGGCCCTGCCATCCACTCGGGACGATTGGCCCGCGATCTTCCCTGACCGCGGGCGCTTTTTGACCGGCGACCAAAGGCGGCGCGCGGCCCCTGCAACGGGGGCGAAACCTCCCCAGGCGCCGCCGCGACAGCACCCAGGGTGTAAACCGCAATCGGAAAAGGAGGGACGAACGGAGGACGGGCGGGGTATGTCCGGCAGCCGAACCCCCTCGATGCTCGCACCACCAACGATGGCCAGCTACGCGTCAACGCCCGCTCTCCGCAGCTTGTTCCCCCCCCCGGGCCCGCTTGCCTCCTTGGACCTTGGCGCACACCCAACTTCTTCAACATCGCAGACAGGCCAGACCACAGCGGAGGTTTGCCTTCCCAGCCTCCCTGGCTCCCTGGCTCCCTCCCCCGCCCCCCCCCCTCCATCGGCCCCCCCTCTCTTCGATGGCGTTCAGTGGCGGGGTTCTCTGTCATGCCAGCAACCTGAAAGGCGGCTATAAGACACGTCCTGGCGGACTTGTTGCTGCCCGGCCGGCCCCCGTTTCAGTCGTCGGCGTGCCCCACGGGGCGGCGAAGCAGGTCACACGTTAGTCATGGCCACTGTCGCAAAAAAGAACAATCCCGGGCACTGTCGCAAAAAGGAACAATCCACTGTCGCAAAAAAGAGTAGTTTGGCACTGTCGCAGAAAAGAACAATCCACTGTCGCAAAAAAAAAATAGTAACCCATTTTCACCCTTCTCACACGGCGCAGCTGTGTGCGCAGCATGGCCATGTCAATCGCCATGCCGCACAGCATGGAATCACGGGTGCCTCTCAGCGCCTGAATGCGCAGGCTGAGCATGAACCACGACAGGTTTGCGACCTCCCTGAAGCCATTTTCGAACTTCCACTTTCGTCTTATCTCTTCTTTTCAACTCGCTTATCGCTCTCTCACGACGATTGAAAGCTGCCATGGCGTCCATAACCGAAGGCAACATGCCCTGACGAAGAGGAGGCCCTTTTCGCATCGCACACAAGTCGTCCTGCTCATGCAAGAGAGCCTGAAGTTCTTTGTCCCTTTGGCGAGCTTCAGCCAGTGTTCCATCTTCATTCGACATGAAGAAATGGGCAGCAACTCTGCCCTCAGCCTTGGCAATCTTTCCCTGAAGAATTTCACACGCCACGAGCAGCACTGGCTCGTTCGTCTCCTTCTTCACCCGGTTCAGTTCGAAGTCGCGCCATGTCATATCCCATGCAGCTGCCAAACCCTTGTAAGCCATACCCTCAAACTCCACAAAGGCACTCTCCACTAGCAGATCGGGCAGCTCCTCAGTGTCAGCACTACGACGAAGAGACTCTCGACCCTCCGTAACCAGCCCATACAGGACTTCGTCCTTGGCCTGAGCGGCCTCCCATTCACTGATCACAAACTCCCTCAAGTCCTTCGCCCTTTTCCAAGGGACGTCATACACGACTTCCCCATCTTCCAGGGTGACCTGCGGGTCCACACCTGACTCCTGACTGCGAGCGTACATGAAGTCGCTGAGTTCTTCGATGAACGCTTCCACATCATGCGCCAAAGGGAGCTTGCATAACTCCCTCCATTGTGCGATCTTATCTTCACGCCTTCCCACGCTGTT